GGGGGGGGGGGGTAACCCCTCCTCCCTAACTGTGAAACTCAGGCAAAAATGAGGTAAAATTCAAGTTAAAATTTTGACATTTTCCAGTTTCATTTGCGTATAAACAGAGTAATCATTTTTGTAAAATACAGTCAATTTACATCCAATTCGTTTGCGAATTTGCTTTAGAAAACACTAGAAATGCAGTTCTAGTGCTTCAGAAATGTAAAAGTTTTCTGGGAGATGACCCCCAGACCCTCCTTTTCTCCCGAAACTTAGTACGAGTGCAAATGAATCACAAAATTAAAAGCTTTATTACAATTATTACACTTCAGGTAAATTTTTAACAGTTCAAATTTCAGGTAAAATCCTCCGACCCGACCCCCCCCCCCCCCCCTCCAAACTTCAGATCCTTCGCTATGACCCTGCATAGAAGGTCAACCTAGAAAAACTATAAAATTAACGACACTATGTTATATATTCGAAGAAAAAAATATCCCCAAGCGTTCATGGCGAAAAGAAAAATCCTGCACATAATTTGTCTGACAAAAAATATCATGCACGAAAAAAATGCCCTCCCCCCTCAAAAATCTAATGGCCCATCCCTTAATTATATTTTTCAGGTTGCTGCATTCCTATCATCCCTTTTCTTTGTTTGTGATATTTTAATTTTCCAATCGAATTGAAGAACGATGACGTCAGTGTTAAGTAAACTTTTTAACCTGTTTCATGATTTTTGTTTTCATTGCATCTGAAAATATATTTGCCGTTTAATTAAAAAGAGCTAAATGCATGCAAATCCTTAAAGAAAAAACAAGGAAACCTAGTTTTTACCAGTTTGTCATATAATAAAATCCCATTGAATATAATCCTGCCGAGCATTTTCCTCGTTTCTCGCATTTTTCCACGCCCTTTCAGGGCTCGGAACAATACGTTCGAAACTCGTAAAATAAACGGCCGGATTATATGTCGAAAAAGCATGTTTCCCCTTGCGCGATTTGTGACCATAGTTGGTATAACACTTGATACTTCTTGAACTGTCTGTGACAGTGAAGGTAGTCCCAAAAGTAGCGCGTAGCTCAGTTGGCAGAGCATTGGGCTAGTATTCCAAAGGTCGTAGGTTCAATTCCCACCGTGACCAGGCATATTTTTCAAGCCTTCCCGGTGTGGACATACACTCAGAGTAACATCATAAGCATCTTATTCACCTGAGTACATTACACCAACACAGAAAATATCAAGTATTAACAAGTTTTCGTTGTTAGGGATGCAACTACCTGAAAAATATAAGGAGAATTGCGACGTTTCGAGCGAAGTCCCTTCGTAACAGTGACTTCAGACGAAGGGCCTTCGCTCGAAATGTCGAAATTCTCCTTATATTTTTCAGGTACCAACGAAAGCTTGTTGACACTTGATACTTCCCACGTAATGGCATATTCATGTTTTGTCATGGCTTATACTGTATGTCATCACCGTGATGTCATGGCTTATACAGTATGTCATGGAGGAGAAAGTATATGAAAAGATAAATGATTAAACGAAAAACTTTCGTCTTTCAGGTGATATGTCCATTAACATGTCAACTGAAAGACGAATTAACAAATATAAAACATTTTCCGTGTTGATATACGGGTGTAGATAAAAAGCGGACGGATAAAAGGCGGACCGCGGACGGCGGAGCATTTAATAAACACATGATTACTAATACTACCGCAACTATTTATAATACCCTAAATTAAAGTATACCAGCCTTAGATCTGTGAAATGAATATGTTTTAATCTGTTTGAATTTTTAGCAATGGAATTTAATTTAATCAG